TTTCTTTTCTGAAATATGATTTCTGATAGCTTTTATAAATAACCCTTAAAAAGTGAGAAGGCTCATTTTGAAACATTGAACATTGATTGCAGTATTTATAGCTAGCTAATGTTGCTAGCAACGTACTTTGTTCCACCTTTTTGTCTGTATTGGTTGACTTTGTCCGCCACCTCTAACCTCAGTGTAATGTGTTAAAAACTTAAAAGATCTATGATTGCAGCATAGGGTGAGTTGTAGTTCTGTTATTCAGGCTTTAGATCATCTGACAAACTAGTTATCTTTTACACTGTACCATTTTAAATATGTGATGAACCATTGCAGACTCTCATAATAAGCATGAAGGTAATATAAACATAATACACATTTTACTAAAACGAAAAACATTTATTTTCTCTCTTAAATTATATTAATTTATCTTCTTATGAATAAGTTTGAAATTATAAATAGTAATTATTTGTTAATGTTTCTATATATGTGAGCAAAATAAGGGACAATTTTATTATATAATTTTGTGGTAATTCCTCACCGTAATTGATACCGAAATCCTATTTCACATGAGTAATCAACATTTGAATCTTCTATTGACTTGTTTATATTAGCGATTATATACAATTAGTTCTGTTTTAGAGGTGGCATCTAGGATGGAATTATTAAACACCAAAAAAAAATTAAATATTTGGAACTTAATTTACATACATTTATATTTTCCAGTCTAACGGGAGTGCAATTTTGAACAAACTTATCTGCATGAACAAAGTCCATTTATGGGCTTTCAGTTTACAATAGTTTGGATTGAATATTTTTTGCACTCCTCTCCTAATATAAGTTAACCACCATTTGCATGCAGTAATAGATCCCTAGATCAATAAATACTTCCCCAAAATATTTAAAAGAAAGATAATTAAAAAAAATCTTTCAATATTGTGTTTTCTCCTTTTCTATAGGTGTATTTATAGAACATAATTATAAATGTAAGATAATTAAAAAATAAAATTACATAAAAAATATGTAATTAATTCTTTCCTTAATTCATTAATATAGGAGTCGCTAAATATCTTAATCTATGCATTCTTTTTTTTTTAGTTCTACACTTACGAATTTATATTTTTCTAAGCAAAATTCAATTTATTTTGGATTCTACACTTTGAAGGCCCAGTTCAATTTCATTCACCAAGTGTATCAATCCCTGAATTCCTCATGAACTGACCCAAGCTCCCCGTAAAGGAATTAGTTGAAATATTATTAAATTTCAAATATTAATATTAATAACTTGGATGTTTGGGTTGATTGGCAAAATGGATTGTCTTTGTTGTTACAGTGGATGTTTATGGTTTCTTCCTCCTCTCAGTAGTTAAAATAAATATTATTTTACTCTTGTATCAAAATATGTTTATATTTTTTAAAACTTATTTTTGGATTAAGTATTTCAGAATACATTTTTAAAATAGTTAATTCAAAAATATATTTCAGAACACTTAATCCAAAATACATTTCCAAAAGAGTACATCTAAAAATAAATTCCAAAATAATCAGCTTAAAAATATATTCTGGAATAGACAATTTAGAAATATATTATAAAACACTTAATTTAAAATATATTTTCTTTATAAACTCTTCCAAAAATACATTTAAGATTGAGTTTTTAATAATGCACTTTCAGTTTGAAAATTTGTTTTGAATAGATCAGTTTAGATCTTTATACTCATTTTTAGTCCAATTTTAATGTAATAAGTATAAAACATTGATAATTTTTCATCTAATGGATTTAAAATATTCTTCAAATGGAGTGGAACCATAAAACAAATTACAAGAACTATGAAGATCAAGAAGATATATAGAGGTATAGAAGAAATTTGTAGGTTTCAAACAAAAACTAATAAAAAGGTATTTTAATCATTTTATATGAATTATGGAGAGTAGAAGAAACCTGAAGGTGTAAAAAGAAAAAACTCAATTAAAAATAGAATCCAAACCTGATAACCTTTATTACTTATTAGAGAACGGGTCGATAAATTAATAGGTTTGTTTATCAAATTTTTATATGTTTTTTTAAATATATTTTAAGTTATATAAAATTTTAAAATTTTTATTCATTAATTAATATATTTTATTAAATAATTGTATAAATAATTATATTTATATATTAAAATATTTAATTATAACTATTAGTTTATACTTATTTTATTAACATTTATTTTTTAAATTATAATATTATAATATATTTATATATTTTAATAATAAAATATACAATAATATAATATTTTAAATTATAATTTTTTTATTTTTATTTTAATATATAAAATATTTTTTATAACATAATATTTTAAATATTTTTAAAATACAATAATTTGGTTAGTGAAATAACTTTTAGGATTGTTATTCAAATCTTTTAAATATAATCTTGATACAAAAAGAAATTACATGGAAAATAATCACTTTATATTATTTTGAAACATAGGACCCTAAAAACATAAGGTCCAGGGAGTCCAACCAGGTTACTGGATTCAAAGTCCAGAATGTTAATCACTACACCATAGAATTAATTACTTTTTATTTTTAATTTTTTATAAGCAATTAATCATTTACAATACAAAGTAAATTATTTATAAATAAATTTATAACTTTATATTTTTGGTGAATTTTTATACTAAAAAAATTTATTTTAGACTATGCAATTAAAATAGATTATTTTAAAAGTATTATTTTATCAACATATCAAATATAAAACTGATTTATATAATAATTGATTTTATCTTATTGTCAAAATTATTATTTTTCTTAATTAATATAAACATACACTAATTAATCAAACTAAAAATCAACTAATTAGCTTAGAAATAAATTAACAAGTAAAATGCAAATAGATGTTGAATTAATTCGTCTAGACGCTATCAACCTTCTTTCAATTGTTAAATAACTTTACATAAAATATAATAAACAGACCACAATATAATTAATTTCGGATAATTAAAAAAAGTAAAAAAAGGACAAAAAGGAAAAAATCATTATTTAAATGAGAAAAACAGAACAGGTAGCTGTATTCAAGTCCAGAGTGCTAACCACTTCACCATAGACCATTTGAATTTTAACTTAGGTGACTTCATTATAATTTAACTATACACTAAATATTTTTAGAAATTTTGTTTGAAGTAAATGATAATTTTGTAAACAAGTAAACAATTTAATTTAAAAAGGAAAAATAAAGAGTTGGTTTAATATTTAAACATATATAAAAATAAATTAATTCCTAAATTTTATAAGTTTATATCAAATTAGTTTTAACAAAATACAATTTAATATGGAATTAATCTTTAAATATTATCACTTAATAACAAAATGGTGCATAAAACTTAACAAGAAAATTATCCCACTTTTGATCCATTGATAAACTAAACAATAAACATATTTATATTCTCAGGATCAAAATAAAAAATGTAAGAAAAAAAGAAAATTAACACTTTTTCATCCAAATAACAATTGAGAAAAGAAAAACATGTATTCTGTAACGTGTTTCGATATTTTTTTCATAAATAATATTATTTTAAAATATATTTTTTAAAATAGTATTTTTATAACATTATTTATCTCATTCACTTTTTACGTTTGAAATTTAGTTTTCGGATAATGGAATTCTAAATTACCATTTCAATTCTTTATTTTTATTGTTTTCAATCTTTTAATTTATAATTATTATTTTAATTTATACAAAAAAATATATATATATATATATATATATAATTAATTTAAAGTTCATATATGTAATATATATAATTATAATTTATATAATTTATTTAACATTAAAAAAAATAATATATATATATATATATATATATTTATTAATTTTATAATTATAATTTTTGTAAAGGTTAAAATTCTAAATATAATTTTTTTAACTTTATAATTATAATTTATAAATAATTATTTTTTATAATTTTATTTTGATATATATTTTTTATTTGTAATTATTTAATGTATATTTAAAATAATTTATGTATATATGATTTTTTTACCTAATTAATATTTTTTTTAAATTTCCCAACAATCCATGGTTTGGTGACTTAAAAAAAAATTTTATATGTAAATTTTTTACATATTTAATATGTGACTTTTTTTACATAATTAATACGTGACTTTTAAAGTTAAAAAAATATTATAATAGGTTGTATGGTTCTATAAAATTTGTTGTAACTTTTTTTTTTTTTAATTCATCAAACAAACAATGGGTTGTTCGGATTTTTTTTTCAAAATATTAATTATATAAAAATGTCATGTATAAATAAATTATTTTAAATATATATTAAATAATTATAAATAAAAAATATATATCAAATTAAAATTAAATAAAAAACTATTTATAAATTATATATATTATATAAATTATAATTATAAAATTAAAAAATATATATTTAGAATTATAACCTTAAAAAATTTAATAAAAATATGTATATTTTTAATGTTAAATAAATTATATATATTATATAAATTATAATTATATATATGAACTTCAAATTAATTAATTATATATATGGTATAAATTAAAATAATAATTATAAACTTAAAAATAAATTATATTTAAAATTATAAAAAAAATTATTTATAAAATTAATAAAATAAAAATAAAAACTAAAAAAAACCAGTTTAAAATTAGATTATTTTAATCGAATTCTGATTAGAAAAATAAAATAAAAAATAAAAAATAATATTTCAAAATTCAGTTTTCCCATAACTGAATTTAAAATATTTAAAATGTGAAGAGTGAATGGTACTGGGTAAATAATATTTTAAAATGTTATTTCACGAACTATTTTTTAAAATAATATTATTTAAAAAAAAGAAGTCTGTGTTCCGAATCATATATTTATCCTCAAGAAAGGTACCACCAGATTGGGCATCACCGTCCAATGCACAAAAACCCGCTAAACTCTACTCATTTTCTATGTGGCGCACTGCAAGTGAGTAAGCACTGAGCAACCAAGCAAGTAACTCTCCACAACAAGAACATGGCCAGTACCTCCTTCTGCTTGCTCCATTCACCCATCTGCAAATTCCCATCTTCATCTCCTTCCTCTGGCTACAGAACGAAAACCAAGTTGCAAGCTCGCCCATCCTCTTGCTTGGGCCAGAAAGAGCCTATTTGCAGCAAAAGAACCATTCTTTTAACGAGCATCGCGCTTCTTCCATTTCGCCGTTTGAAGAGGGCCCCAGCTCTCGAACCACCACCGCCAACTCCAAGTAAGTTTCTTTAATATTCATTTCTAAATTATAATCATGTAATTGCATTTGGGCTGATGAATTAGCAATTAGTATCCCGAAAAATGAATTCTTGGATTGGTTTCTTGCATTCACGGGATATTTTCTGATATGGGTTTATTTGCAATCTATTCTATTAGTATAGAACTTAAAACAATGCAATGTTAATTAGTGTAACAGTTATTTAGGACAATTGTCCCTCAGTGTTCACTTGCATTCAAGATTATGAGCCATAGGATGCTTATTTGGTTGAATGCAATGCCGTGTTTTAGAAATTAAAGGGATATGGATTTTGAGTGTTTGAATCACGCTTTGCTTTTTTGGTGATCGATTTTTTAACTCCTGGAGTTTTAATAGAACAGTGATACATATTGGTCAGAAGATTGATAGAAGAGAAAAAAAAAAAAACGAGAAGGATATCTAGTGGATGTTCTTTTGTGCCACTTTAATATTCTGAACAAAATTTAGAACTTTTCATACCCATGCAACAGAATGGTTTCAAGTTTCAACTTGTGAACATGCATGTCCTTCTTTTTGTTTCTGGAATATTAAAAATCTAGAATTTTCAATTCTGTTCCTCTAGGATGAAAAATAAATGGATACTTAGAAACTTCTTGGCTAAGTTCTGATTTGTTGCTTTTTGCTTGTGACATGACATGTTCTATATTATCAGACTGATTCCTTAATTTAAAAGGATGGTTGATTATTTTACATGACACCCATTACAATATACCATTAGAGTTTCATACATATGTCAAAAAGGTCTCCCATTTCCCCTCTTTGGATTCCCTTATGTATGTAGATGCATTGTTTGACCATTGTTCTATTTGCATTATTCATAGATGTCTCATGAGATCTTCGCTCTCATCCTCCAGAGAAAATTATAATTTTAGGACCTTAGGCTGTGTTTTATTTTCCATGTCCCTGTCTTAATTTTGGCTGTGGATAGCGGTCGGCTTCTTTCTGTAGTAACTTGCGTTATTATTCATTCTCCTTGCAGCAGAAGAAAATGAGGTGAAGACACAAGACGATAAGCAGGTTTATGTGTTGTTAAGATCAGACACCAATGTTGAATAGTAAATTTATTCTTACCTACTGTATTTGTTCTTTGGATGTTTAATGTGATCTAAACTTTGTAGCTTCTGTGGACAGATAGCAACTGAAGTGGACAAACCATCATCTTTACGTTCTCTTCTGAACATAATTGGAATATTTTCTTCCGGTGTGTTGGGTGCTCTATATGCACTTACTCAGAAAGAAAAGTCCACTGCTGAAGCAACAGTAGAAACAGTAAGCTTATTTGCACTCTTATGATTCTTGGAAACTGGCAAGATGTGTGTTGGCCTTCCAGGAATGTCTTTCTTCCAAACAAAGTCATACAATTGAAAAGGGAAATGAGGGAATATCTTCTGCTACTAAGGGATCAAAAATGACTGGTCATTTTCAATTTAATTTGATTTAAATGTTTTGTTTTCTAAGACCCATTTTTAGATTATTCGTTCATTAACATTTAATAAGTATATTTTACTGGTCAATGTGCACAGATGAACAGGAAACTGAAGGAAAAGGAAGAACTGATTCTTTCCTTAAAGAAGGACTATGAGTTGAAGTTACTGAATAAGCAGGAGGAACAAGCCAAGCTACTTGAAAAGGCAAAGGAAGAGCAGCAAGTATTGATAGAACAACAAAATTCTGCGAACATCACTATCCACCGCCTGGGACAGGAGCTAAAAATCGACAGAAGTTTCATTGAGGACTTGAAACTTCAAATTGACAGACTTGAGGCTGAGCGTTCAAAGACTGAAAGAGAGAAGAAGGATCTTGAAAGCAATTTAAAGGAAAAAATAGATTCCATTCGAGTTTTACAGGAAAGAGTCGATCTTCTCAGCGTGGACCTCCACCACAAAGAAGATGTTGTTAAGAATCTCAATTCATCTCTTGCAGAAAAGGAGTTGGAATTGAAGAGTTTGAATTCTACCTATGAGAAAACCAAGGATGAGTTATCCAATGCACAATTGCAGATTCAAGGGTTGAAAGATAAACTACTGAAAAGTCAAGAGGAATTAGAAGTAAAAGATTCCTTGGTGATAGAACTAAATTCAAGAGTGAGTTCCTTAATTCTCGAGAATGATGATTTTAGGAGTAAATACGATGTCTTGGAGAAGGAGTACAATGACCTAAAGCTGACTACTGAAAGAAAGGCTGCTCTGGACTCCAAGGTTTTAAGTGAAAAAGATGAGGAGCTTCAGCAGCTAAATGATCAGTTTAAACTTGCCCTACGTGAATCAAGTAAAAACCTGATGATCAATGCTGATTTATCCAAAGAAAGAGATCTTTTGAAGGAGGCTCTTCAGATTGAATCTGGCAAATTGAATCATTTGAAGTATGAACTTCAAGTCACCAAAGAGAATCTTGAAAAATCAAGAGATGAGTCTGCCAAATTGGAAGACCTTCTAAATGAGTCAAACAAATTGTGCAATGAGCTCAAGCTCGAGGTGTCTAAGCTTTCATCTGAGCTAACTGAAGTTAAATTATCACTGCAGAGAAGCCTTGATGATGCAAAACATGAGGCAGAAAAGTTAGCAAGTGAGCTCACAGATGCAAAGGAACATTTGAAGAAAGCAGAAACAGAGCTTCAAGGCAAGTCCCATGAACTGACTGTTGCTCTTGAAAAGCATGATAGCCTACAAAAAGAATTAATTGCCGTGTACAAGAAGGCTGAAACTGCGACAGAGGATTTGAAGGAAGAAAAACAGTTAGTTGCTTCTTTGAACAAAGACATACAAGCTTTAGAGAAGCAAGTTTCAGAAGATAAGGAGTCCCGAAAATCTCTTGAGATGGACTTCGGGGAGGCTATCAAATCCCTTGATGAAATGAACCGAAATGCAACTATCCTTTCTGGTGAACTACAGAGAGCTAACTCTCTTCTTTCTAGCCTTGAGAAAGAGAAAGAGGTGCTTATGAAGTCCATAACAGAACAAAGAAATGCAAGCAGAGAGGCCAAAGAGAACATTGAAGATGCTCATAACCTCATCATGAAACTTGGCAAAGAAAGAGAGAATTTAGATAGAAAAGGGAAGAAATTGGAGGAGGAATTGGCTTCTGCCAAGGGTGAGATATTGCGCTTAAAGAGTCGAATCAATTCTTCTAAAGTTGCTGTTAACAATGAGCAATTGCGGAAGGATGGAGTTGAAAACAAGGTCAATTCTTCAGAAGTTGCTCTTACTAATGAACAAGTGCAAAAAAATGATGGTGAAAACAAGGTAACTGTAACTGCGCGGAAGACAGTCAGAAGAAGAAAAGCTAATCCACAATAACATATTGAAGGTTTTGAGAGTTTTCTATCAAAAAAATTCCTATTAGGGCAATGATATTATGTAATAAACTATTTGGAAGCCAGTTGATGTTGAACTCTATTCACTTTGTCATGCAAAAAAATTCCATGTTGCAGTAGTATTGTGCAAATGGGAAAAAAATTCCATGTTGCATTAGTATTGTGCAAATGGGAATTGTTAAAATAAGTTTGTAGGACAGTTGTTATCTGATAGTTTTCTTTTTATAGCCAACCTAAAAAAAAGTGAATATACTAACAAAAGTTTGCAACATTAAACATGAGTGTGTATATACAGCAACTTTTCCTTGTCTATAATGCATATAGCGACTGCTCATTTTCTGAGCTGTAACATGGGTGATTGGGTTAACTCCCCATCGTCCAATCTCGAGAAATCCTACCAACACACTCTTTTATCACTGATTTATTAGAAATCATAAAATTTTGTTGAGTTCCATTTCTCATTTAATCTTCATTGGTGATTTTGTGATTTGTAATAATTTTTAATCAATAACAAGGAATATGTTAGAACTGTGTTAGAAAGTGTTATTAGCATTTATCTTATGCAGATGTTAAAAAGAGCATGGATAGTAGCATGTGGTAGAGTTGAAATCCATTGGCCTATTTGGCTAACTAGATATATTTTCTGCATCATCATTTCCAAGTACGTGATGAACCCATTGCCTGTTCTGTTAAGCATGAAGGTAATATAAACCTAAAGCAGTTCTATATTTTTCCCTGAAAATAAAAAGCAGACAATTTTTCATAGCAACCGATATTAAAATCCACTCCAACAACTCATATATGTTATTTGACATGGATGTTAACGAGAAAATTTCCGTGACGAGTCTTAATGATTTTGAGTTCAAATAATATTATTTAAAAATAATATATAATATGAAAATATAAAAAAATAAAAATAAAAAGATAATTAACATTAATAATCATTAAAGAGACTACAATTATAATTACGTACATAATTAAAAAAATTTGGAGGGACTCTTACATTCCAAGAAACTGTCATTGCCAATTTGGATATGCCTTTAGATAATTGATTTTAGATTAATGTGATTTTACATAACTAATTCTATTTAAACATGAGTTTGTAGTAACAGTATATTTGTTTGGATGATAGATACTGCAAGTGATTTTACAAAAGTGATTTAGATCTATATTTAATTTTAGTGATATTGAGATGATCTGAGGTATGTGCAAAATTTATCTTAAAAGTTTAGAACCTTATATAAATTATCAACATAATACAAAAAACTATGTATAATCTTAATTATAGCTGTTTTATCTGATTAGAATGCATTTCACTAAAATTAATCGAGTATTTGATGAAACATTTATTGAATAAATTCATTTTGATAAAATTTACTTAATGACTTGTTAAAATAAAACAAATATCATGAACCACCTTTTAGCAGTTATTGTTCACTCTTGAAAGCTTGAGAAATGATCAATTTAGTAGCTTATGGTTTTAGGAGCTTGCATTGTTTGACAACAGGATAAATATTTCTTTGATCATGATAAACATTTCATATACACGTAATTTACATGATGGAATTCATAAATCGAATAAAAGAATTACTTAGAGCAGCGTCAAACAAACACTGCACAAGTTTGAATAATAATCTCAATCGTTGGCCACAGGCAGATTTGGACGATGATCTTCGTACCAATAAACTTGCAGGGACGCGCTGTATAAATTGATACCATTACCCTGATCCCACTCACTACAATTCATATAAGCTCTAAAATCCAGGAGGTACATTCTTGGAGAAGCTGGAATGTCTGACGAGATGCTATGTTCAAGAAAACCTGCATCTTTTTACGAAATTCATTGGCATCTTCCTTGCACCTAAACGAGCCTGCACATGCACATTGGTCTGCTAAATGTGCAGCTTTCACCTGATGGCACCTGATACACACCAGATCTTGCAGGTGGTATAGTCGTTCTCTTTGTCTTACGGTCTGAAGAAGAGCATTTTCCATCACCTCACGGTCATAAGGCTGGCCACACTGTGGCACTGCACAACGCCACTCCTCAGTTAATAAAGCCGAATCCCGGCACAAGTCCAAGTCTCTGCAGTCATTACAATAGCTGAACCAGAAAGGAAAATTAATAAATGTGAATACGGGAATCTTAATGCGCTTTTATTTAGTTTTTGGGCAATGATTAACATTGTTGGGATAGTCAAACTTGAGCAGGGAAGCTTTTCCAATAATGAAAAATTGTTAATTTCCAAAACTGATTTAATCGAAAGCTATACTTTTTTTTACCTGCATATGACATTGGATAAGATGAAGGAATGAAAAGGATCGTGAAACTCAGCTTCTGGAGCAAACTCTCTGACATCAACATATTTGAGCAAATTCTTTCTCAAGACCTGCAAGTGAACGATACAATTAGAACAATTTCTTTGCTCACCAAAGTGTAGAGACAAGAAAATCAACAGCAGATGAGGAAAGAAGTCATTCAACTTTAATTTTTCAGGCAAGGAAATATGCGAATCTGATATGGAATTATATGGCATTTAACAAGGAAATATCTCATGGTCTCTCAAATATATTAAAAGTATTCCTATATGAGACCATAATACAGAAGTGCCTCAGGAATATAATATTACAGTAAGACAGCGTTAAGTTATTCAAGGAAAACAAGTAGAAAATTTTAGTAACTCCATTTTCAAGGCATCCTTTATTATGAGATAAATAAATGAATAACAGTGTGTTACAAGAGTTTTGCTAGCATTGCTCAAATAATTATTACCAAAACTTCATGCTGCACACTTTGGTCAAGGGCCAGGACAGCACAGACATGCTTGATAAATTCCAAGGCAGCATCCCCTCTATGTATATCAGGGCCTGATGATATACTCTGGTTGTTTTCTGATCTGCTCATCCCCTTCATATGAAGACTAATATCGTGAACAATTCCTAGCAGTTTGTCTGCAAAGTAAGAGCTAATCTGTGGAATAGAATATGAAAGCAAAATAAGAATAAACTAATCGTTCAAGAAGAGAAAACATGCAATTTCAATTACTTGGTGCTGTCATTGTTATACCTGTCCTTTGATATATTCTGTTATTTCTGATTCAAAAGCTGCAGCAGCTCCAATGTTTATTGATGGAGTACAGGAGTCACCATCCTGCAATGAGGTCCGGATTTGTGCTTGGTTTTGTGCATAATTCCAGGGAATATACATGAATTGAGAAACGACAAAAATAAAATGGTCCTGTAGATAGCCAATAACATGAACAACTTAGACATGAATGCAGAAGAGTTCCTGTATTAAATGACTGGAGTGGAGATTATAAAACTTTAGATACAGAAAAATTATCTTCACAAGTAAAGATTCCTTGCCTTCAGCGCATCCGTATTCAAGCTAAAATTTTTACTTGGTAACTTACTTGAACTTTTTTTGGCAAGTACTCAGCAATATTCCAGCTCGATATAATGTCTATTTGAGATTTATCATTCATGGCTTCATCAGATTTTGCTGGTATTCCTCCGTAGTTATACTACACAGAAAATCAGAATGACAGCAGTAAATGATTAAAAATACATTAAAAATGATTGAAAGACTGCAGGCTATATCCACATCAACAAACATTAAAAATACATTAAATTTTCATAGTTGTGCAGTAAAAGCTAATGATCTTCACTACTCATTGGAGAATTCACCACTTGGTCACCATCATTATGCATTTTGTCAAAACAGGATAACCCAACTGGAAACAAGTACTGCTAGAGATTTATAATATTTATTGATGACAATTACTATCACACCTTTACCAAATCTTATACTAGCTTCATCAATCAAGCAGATTTCCTTTTTCCTTGATTAGAAAGGTCAATGGAGAAACTCTCTATTACTCATTTTGGTATCAGAATTAAAACGTTTCCTGTGACGCTATTTTCACATATATTAAACAACACAACATTATCTCAATAACTTCCTCAATAATTATAAGAAATGTTTTATTTTTATTTTTCTAACCAACCATTAAGAATTATAATTATCAAATATGCCTGGCAGACCAGTATTGATTAATTATGATATCTTAGTGAAAAAAAAAATCCCCAGTACATTCTCAATTGCTTCCTTGATAATTTGAAGAAAAAAATTTAGATATTGCCTAGCAACAGTAACTAAAACAGTGAGGCCTAAACAATAAAAAGCAAAAATCATGATGATCATACCTGATCCATGAATAACAACGAGCACCAGAACTGCAGTGGTTCAAGCTCAATCCATTCAAATAGATCTCTACAAAATAGAAATACAGGGTTACATAAAACAAGAAGCATCAGTTTAATGTCAATTAAGTTGAATTTAACAAAAAAATGAAAAGACGCACATGAGTGATTCTTTGATCACAACTTTATCTAATTCAGTTGAATTATCCCAAAGATAGAAAAAAATATATATATAATAAAAGAAAAATATTATTATGGCTTTTACAATACTGACCTAGATTGTATAGTTCTTAACAAACTGTCGCAGTAAGCTTTGGCTCTAGACAGATCATATTTCCCCGTGTCTATAATAATCTTCGTGAAGTTTGCAAATACAATTGTAGCACCTAACTTGCGGAACTCTGCCAACAACAATGCAAAGACCTTTTGCATGACCTACAAATATCAATGCAATCAGAAGACATTAGTGGCATTCAATTAAAAGATTTTAGGTAAGATATTACAATGAAATGAACTAATCAGGGCACACAAGCCTGAGTTAAAAAAAAAAGGTAGGAAAACAGTATTACCATTTCGGGGAATATCTAAATTGCTGTCTTTATCAAATTATAGAGTACATTTTCAAAAGATAATGAACAAAGAATTATGATAAGAAAAGGAAAAATAAGAAACGAATTTAATTACACTCACTATATAGATTCTTTTAGTGTAAACTGTTTACCTTATGGAGTAGTTGGTGGAGAGCTGGATCATGAAGTTTTGATTTAGGGCTGCAATGTAAAGAGCAGTACAGGAGTTAATTAATCTAAAAAATAGGATGACTGTTAATATAGCTCAGGTAGTGTGGGCTAATAATCCCATTATGTGGTGGTTTAACAATGGTAAACAAATGTATTAAAAACCTGCAAAGCCATCTATATAGATGCTGCAAAATTGAATCAGCGTAAACATTTCCTGATGTCACAGCATCTGCTAGACACCGCTGGATCAACTGCTTGAGGACTCGAAAGGCTTGTGCACATGAGCTAGACTCGTCAAAACCATTATGATCATTCATGGAAAATGCTCCAGAGTCATGTTCATGACCAAATCCTAATAGAGTGCCTCCTTCCATTTCGTTAACTAGGCTATATTTGAGTAGAGCATTTACAGCCAGGTGGTGTATCTGCAGATAAATTAATAAATAATAAAAATCACTTAATATTTAAACTCTTGTTCAATATGAAGAAAGTAACTTTAGATAATTGAACCTTTAACTCCACAGTTACGTTTCTGTAAGCTCCAGGATATGTAAGAACAGGTTGTTGGACCTATTTTCAAATAGCACAGCAGTCAATTTGAGGGATCAAATATGGGCATTTCAAATCATCAAATAATAACTAATTACGAGGGAAAATTATTCCCATGACTATTATGGCACAGTTTGGGTACCTACAGTATTTTATCCACAAACCTTTTGAATAAATAAAACCTAGAGTGGTTGGGCGTATAGTACGACAACAGGGGATTTCATAGGCATACAGAAACCATTTTGATTCTCAAATAATAATCATAATACAATTACACAAGAACAGGAACACTAAAGCTTTGCAAAATTGATAGGAGGGGAAAATTAAGGTCTGCAAAAATTTGGGTTAATAAAGAACCAAAATAACTACATGGCATACCTCATCAACAAAACAGTTTTGTTCGCCATTAATCCCGCCTAAATCTGGAAGGCCATCATCAGATATCCAAAGCACCTGTAAAAATGAAAAACTCCTTCATGAATTATCATTTAAAGACCTATATAATGAATTACAAAATGTTTGACACTGTCCTCTAAAAAAACAAAAACCCACATTTGAACTTATCAAAGATAAAATTATTTTGTTCAAGTGAGGACACAAGTAAAACATCAAAAACAAAGAAAAGAGAAATTAAGTTTCATTTTATTGATAACTCTTAGAAATTTAATTTATACCTAACTCAACCTGATGGAGATCCAACTAGTCAACCTACAATGGACTAGCTTTGTACAAGTACAGGAAGATTTTGGTCCAATATAACCTAAAAAGACTAAACTCAAAAGACAAAAAACATTTTGGGCTAGAATGTAATTAGCATTGGGCTGAATATTAATTTAAAAAAATCATTTCCAATTTTAAATTAGTTTTCATTTTTAATAGTGTGGGAATAAGTTTGGATGAGTTATCATATTTCTTAAGTTGGTTTCAGTTCCCAAGCCATTATAATAATGGCTAATGGGATTTAATGAGTCATTATAATGACTAATGGGATTTAATGAGCCATTATATGATGGTTAAAGGGAAGTAAATGCTTGGTAGAAATTTATGTCTTCTATCTCATGGCTTGCCTATAAATAACAACTTGTAAACTTTTAAGTACAACTCAAATTTAATCATATTGAATGTTTTCTCATTATGAGTGTTTCCTTTTGTTTTTGGGTTAAGAACTTCAGAGTTTGGACCAAGTGCTTACTTCAATTCTTTACCTGTTTTCAAGATGATTTATAAAGTTAGTTTCATATCATTTGACATCAGAGTTTTGACTCTTGAACTAAGGTGTTATCTATTCTTTTTTTACTATCAATGCCCAAAAAAAGTCATCATTTGGCAAAAAAGTCATTATTTGGCAAAGTCTTCGCCCTTTTATATATTTGATCATCTTTAGATTTATTTGTTGAGTCTACTAATATTCCTTTCTTCTTTTTATTAGTGTTTATTTTTTCTATCATATTATAAAAAATAAAATAAAAAGTTTGAGTTAAAAAAAGTGTCTTCTTCAAAATATCCTTGATTGTATATGGAAAAACACAGATTTCGCTGTTTCCTAAATCAACAGATTGACAGCTAAAATATCGGAGTAACATCCTTGATTGTATATGGCAGTTTATTATTGTTTTCCAATTCTGTGATGTAGAATATTTACTATCCCTAATTGGGGTCCTAATTTATTATGCAGAGTTGGACGGCAGCAATGGCGATGGCAGTGACAACAAGAGAAGGCAACCTGTTCGCAGAGGAGGAAGAATTGAAGGGGGTTGTATGACCCAATCCTTTTTTTTATTATTATTGGGCCTCGTAAGCCTAAAATTTTTAGGATTATGGCCGGGTCACATAAACCTAATGTTTCTTCTCCTACCATCAACATGTGGCACCGACACTGTTGGAGAGAGATTTCTGCAATGGCCGTTCTGAAATGTCATTCTTTGATGGATATATCAGCCGCCATGGGATACCCAGTTCACCATGGCCAATATTTGATAACACTATTTTTGATATTGTGTTGTGTCATATTTCTTAGGTCGGCTTTTAGGACATCTCCAGAGGGAGCTTTTAACAAGAGTTGCTTAAGAATTAAATTGAATATTTTATTATGGGTCCTACAGTTGAGTTGTTTAAAACTTGATCAGAATTGCTTATACAAACAACTTTCTTTCAATTTTAAGCAACTCTTGGTAGCAACTCCCTTTGGAGATGCTCTTAATGCATTTAGACTTCCTATGCGGTCAGTGGGATGTAAATGTTTAGAGTTGTTAGTGAAAATTTATTTCTTCTTTCTCATGGATTGCATACTTTTCCTATAAATAACATCTTGTAAGCTTATAAGCACAATTTAGATTTAATCAAATTGAGTGTTTTCTCATTGTGAGAGCTTCCCATTTGATCTTGGATTAAGAATTTTGCATAGGGTTGGTTCTACCAGCTGATCACGGTTTGGGTCAAGTTCCTTTTTCTATCCTTTACCTATTTTCATGACGATCTATATAGTCAACTTCATATCACAACCCTACAAAACTAGCTGTGTTTGCACCACATATAGAGAATTGGATATCTGAGCATAGGACTAGATTTTTTTTGGGTGGTTCAATAGCAATTTGATAATGCATGACACCATACATTCAACAAAACGATTTTGTTGGATTGAGTTAGGACTAAATCCACTCTCTAAGAATGTTAATAACTTATCAAATTAAAATCAGAACCTGTTGATTATCATGCAATGCTCTTGAAAAGAAGATATCTGCCATAAATATAAGCCAGTCAAGTTCGAAGTTCCCTAAAGGTACCTGCAAAAGAAATGCATAAGAAAACGATAAGTTGGAGAAATTACTAAATTACTCGTCTTAGTTAACCACTTCTGCTAATTGAACTTTAAATCTCTTTTTCCAATAAATATTTTTCCCTTTTTCTCTTATAATTTTCCCACAGATATGCTACTAAATATTGAAGTACTCACATGGGCATATCTTGAGAGAGCAATTCTTTGATTTAACCATTGGATTGATGCAGCACAACGTTGCATTGCAACTTTTGCAGCAGTTTGTTGCCATCCAAGAATCTAAACAACGCCAAAATTAAATATATTAAAAAAGAGAGAGATCTACAGACAGACATGCTTGAGAAGGACTACTTGTTTCAAAACATTTTTACCTGGTACTGACTGTCGCGAGCATTATAAGGAACACTCAGGCATGGGAAATCATCCAGTGTTCGGATGCCCAATTTCACTAACTGAACATTAGGGCATTCAATGACAGCAACCATAGGCACATGATTTTCTCTCCCATGACTAAGATTATGTGAGAAGTGCAAAATAACTCAGTCCAAAAAACGTAAATAGAATATTAAATTTGATATTTTAGAATTTCAGAGTTTACAGAATTTTGTAAAATAAATAACTTGGAAAGCCTCAATCTTCTAACGGCCACAAAGATTGAGCATTGTCAAAATGTCAAGATGTTATCACTCGTAATGTCTTTTTGAACATTAATTAATCTAGCATGTACACAACACATTCATAAGATTAATTTCCCCAATACATCAGTCAAAATAAGGAATTTAATAGTTAAAACCAGGTCCAGACAAAACAAACCTTGTTATATATTATATATATACTCAAGTGCTTCTAGCTTATTCACTTCACTCCAGATTCAAAAACTTGTATCACTCTTGCTACACTACAGGCAACAAATCTGTCCTAAATAGAAATTGTATGAGAAAACGTCCCCGTTCTTTTTATGTCACATTTTAAGAAATTCCATACTGTACGAGAAAACTCCCTCTGTTCTTTTTGAAGGGGGTAATATTTTAAAAACTTAAGTTGTTCCTATACATAAAAGTAACTTTATAAAATCTATGAAGCATTATATATTTTTTCCACATCTACCCTTCATCTCCAATTGCATCCTGTTTAATTCCTCTAATAATAGCGCTTTTAAATTTATGGCACATTAGATGATAATTAATGGGAAGAGAGAAAGTTAAAAGAATTGGCGACATTTAAACAAGTGTAGTTCTGGAAAGTTCAAAGAGCGTTATAGTAAACCACGATAGAATAAATAACCTGTGACCATTTATTGCTCGTTGCATCACTGTTTCAGCATCCTTGACATGTGCTACATAGTCCACCTGTATATAGAACATAATTATTCACACATGAAAATAGATAAGTTCATATACGCTTAGAAAATTTTTAAAAGATTAGATAGTTAAAAGAATATCTACAGATTTTAAGATATACGGCAAGTAAACAATCAGAAATATGAAGATGTACCGTAAAATTAATGTCATTCCTCGGAGGTGGCTCAATAGTTAAAGCCTGACAAGCATCATGAAATTGTCTTTCAAGAAAAGTCGGTGACAAATCTTTGTTTTGATAGGGATTAACCACCACAACAGTTATTGCTTTTGATGCAGGAAAATATCCAACATATATAGCCCGTCCCTCAGAGATACTGAAAGTTAATAAAGGAGTAATAAATAAAAAACTGCAGCTTTAAAAAAATTGCAAGAATAATAAAAAAACATGCATTAATTTTTAAAGCAAATGCAATTACATGTTTTCAATTAAACAATGAATGAAGAAAATAATCTCTGTAGATAATGAGCCTCCACTTACCTGTGGTACAAATAAAAGAAGGATATAGATTGTTCAAGATAAGCACATTCTGTCGTGGTCTTCATGCGCAATTCACTCAAATTCCAGGATTCCTGTAGACTACGTTTATTAGCAGTTTTGTCCACCTTACATACGCAACCAAGCTGGACTATTGCATTAAACTCCAGAGGCACCTTAGTTTCATATACTCCCTGACATAAAAATTGAATCCGTTAAATTCAATAAAGCTAATTAATCATATAAATTTACACTAGGAACATAATATTGATAATATAATTTAAGCTCTTGATTGTATAGTAATAACATCCATCCAAGAATCATACATGGGTTGTAAGACATGATTCAGATTTGAGAGAACTCCCATTTTATCCAACATATAAGATCCTAAAAATTTGGTACACTAGGAGGGCTTTCGCACATGCCCACAGTAATACATGCTAGCCACGACTTTATCAGTCAAAGTTGAAAAGTTAAGCTATCATGAACGAATCTAGTTATTTGCTCATCAAAATGAGCTAAACCCATATACCACAATGAAAGACTCTCTAAGCCAGGAACAAATTTTGAATGAAGAGTGCATCACTGCCTTGCTCAGAAGAAAAAACAATGGTAAAACATATGCTAATAAGGCCAACCATACTCTTACAAATAGATGGCATATACTCGAGTACAACACAGAAAAATACCTTTAACCCTTGGTAAAAAGTAAAGACAACTTCCCATTTGTTGAAGTCAAACTACAAACTAGTACAAATGCAAGAATTTACTTTCCATCATGTTAACAACCAAATATAGTTGAAACAAAAAATTGTTACTCCATTCAATAACTTTTTGTATATGTTAAATTTCAATAATTTAATCCTTGAATATTTTGATATTATCTCAATGATTATGCATACCAAATTTCAGATAAATTGGGCATCTGTAATTAGATAATCTTATAGTAGACATTTACTTTTATTTTCAAAATTTATATGTTTGAAATTTTATAAAAATTATGTTAATCAATGCAATAATATCTTTTAAGTATTTGAGTATTAAAATTTAATAAGAATATTATTGAATGGATTAGCATGATCCTCGCCCATGCTACATACACACATATATAAGATGATTAGTAAGTATACTGACCTCAACATCAGGATCTGCCAGAAGAGTTGCAAGTTTTTTGCTTAGTTCCCCATATTGAATTTCATTAATTGAGATCTACAAAGTTGTCAACGTAATAATGATACATTTGATTGAAAAAATTAATAACAAAATGTATTAAAAGTAAAAAAAAAAAAAAATAGAAGCAATAACACCACAGTACCTCATACAAGTTATAACTATGCTTTCCATGAGGAAGAGTCTTGTTAACACGTTTACCCATAAATTCGTCGGTAATTGAGGATCTTGAATTAAGGTAAAAGACTCTAGGAACAGAAACAGGAATCTTATGCATACTCCCATCAACAACAACCCAAGCAAAAAATTGGCCTATCAATGAACTGGGAACTAGTTGTATTATCTGGGCCACAAAAATAGAATAAGGAATTTAAAAAATCATAACAGTCATATTGAAAATTGAGTACTTGCAAAGTTTAACATTACCTGCCAATGACACTTCGTTAGGTCCAACTCAAACCTTTTAAGATATGAACTGACATGGCTTCTGCCTTGATTCCTCTTAGCATTCATTTGTTCAAAAACACCATTTTCACGGTTAGATGTCTTTGAATTCTCCAATCTGGGAAACAAATATCTCTTCATTAGTCAAGTTTTTGTCCAGTATTCAATGTTCAATGTATGGATTAAAGGATGCTCGGTCGGTTACTAGTAAAGTCAATCACACAATGCGAACCTAACATTATATAATTCACAATAGATTCTTATCCTCCATCTAGTTTCATACCTCCAATGTGGGACTCTTGTTTGCAACTGCGAGACACAGTGGAAAGCGTTGACAACAACTACCACACCATAAAATCCAGTCATTGTAGTAAAAGTCTCTAAGGCCCTATTAAACCCCCACATAGAACCACATACTTTCATTGTAGGACTCAAGTCTCATATTGAAATTGGATAGTAACACATTATTCATGATTGATCCTTCCACAGGCTATTGTGGCCCCTTCAAAGAAAACTGTAGATATTTGTGGTTATCCTATTCTAGTTGCACAAAACTTAGACACAGTTCGATAGGTGTTATTCTCCAATCAGATTTGGAGTATCATCTCAGTAATACACAATGATATTTAATGGAATCTGTTATTCCTGAGGTGAAACTCTAAATCTGATTGGAAATAAAACCAACAACAGCAATGATAGTGTCCGTTTCAATTTAAGTTTTGAATAGCTTAGTAAGAAGTAAAATCTCAAGATGTTACACATAAGACTTGAGTCAGACAAACATATAAAATCTCAAACAAAATAATTGCCCCTTATACAAGAACATAGACTTGTTCAGTAATGCTAAATGCCTCCTTTGAGCTTTTATATGTGCTGACATTATTAGTTATCATATTAATTGGTGTCGGATAATAAAATTAAAGGCATAATGCAGAAAAGAAAATTATTTCAGTAGCAGATCAAGAAGATGTAGGTTTAATACATTGTTTTAGCTCTTCCAAACATCACAAGACTATCTTTTTGGGACTTGCTCTTAGAATGGGAACCACCCCAAAAAACCTTCTTATTATTAATGTATTAATGCATACACTTAACTATTTAGCTAGCAATGGCTAATTTACCTTCGCTTCTTTCTCCTTTCCAGGATATCTTTCCACATTCGCTTCTTTACTTGAAGCCATCCTTGATAATCTACCTCTCTGTCAACATTTTCAAACATCTCATTTTGCTGTAATGGTGAAATTAGATGTTCCTTGACGCTATTATCTTTATTATGCTCCTGCTCCAAATCTCGTTGATCATTGAGCATCCTTGAATGTTGTTCATTACTAGCTTGATAATGCCGTACAATTGGTCTAGGTCCGCATGTAGAACTCCTACGTTTGTTTCCAAAGTCCTCCAACTCATTTACAATCTCATCATCGATCACAAGAGCGACATGATTTGAGTCATTATGATTTTTTGAGTGCTCATTCCTGCTCATTGATTTAAAGGCATCAACTAGTTTCCGTTGGCGTAACTTGTCCTCTTTCTCACGAACCTTCTTATGCAACCAATCAGGATGAACCACCCGAGGGACTGGATTTGAAACCTGTAAGAATTAAACTCATTCAGAAAAATTAGCAATCAAGAATGAATTATTTCAAAGCCAGACAAAAAAAAATTCAATAAACCTTTTGCATTGCAGCAGGAATAGTGACAATTTTCTGAATAGCAGAACTAAGCCGCTGTTTGTAATAGGACCAATCAATTATTGAACGAATGGCAACATCCGCTGAGACCTTGCACCACTTTCGGACATAGAACTTCATCACCTCTGCAAATATTAAGCGTACACCATCTTTAGAATGTGAACTGGAATAAATTTGTTATTATCTGTGACTTGAAGAAACCCAAAAATAAAAAGCTACCAGCATCAGTTTCAAATATTGCCACAGGAACAGCTCGCTCGCTAACTGGTGTGCCCTGCAAAGGTAATGACTTGTTAAATTAAAAGTAACCAGGAACATATATACTTATGATTCACGAATTTTCCATATTATACACGCATCACACCTTTGGTTCACTTGCAACTATGTACTGACATCGAAGACCTTTATCTTTGACCATTGTATCTCCAAGAAAGTCAGCTAGACGTCTAGCAGTGGTAACAGCACAAGACTTCTGCTCACCATAATCAGCTAAAGATTTGCTCATGGTACTTGATTCTGATATATAATCAAGCAACTCAGTGTCAGCAATATCCTTTCCCTGGTTCTGTATGACAGAAAAAAATTGATAATTAAGGAAGCGAAAAGTTGTATCTGGTCATGACCATCAGTATCTTAGAACTAATTTGAGCAAAGCATACATGAACTCTCCTAATAAACATTCAACTATCCTAGGAACCAGAAATTAAACTAGCATACATCAAGAAGATCAAGCCAACGGTTTGCCACTGAAGCAACAGCAGAATAGCATTCCTCTAATGTTGAACCATGGAGAAACTTGTCAAAAAGTTCAGCCTGTGACAAATGTTCACATTAGAAAAAATTGAGAACAGAATAACCATCAAAAAGAACCTCAACACTGAACATAGGATTTTAAAAATAAAAAACAAAAAATGTGATGACAACATATAAATAAAAAAATACATAAATAGAATTTCACCAAAGCTGTTAGACAAGCCAATCAAGAAAATAGACACCCACCAAGTTTGGGCTACTATTTTTGCAAAATTAGTATGATTTTGTTACCAATTGATACAGAAACTTACTTTATCCACTTTTAAATCCTTTTCTTTATATTCATGTTATGCATCTTCTTCAATCTATTTTAAAAATAATGTTAATTTTTGTTAAGAGAATTTAGAAATTAAAATTTAGATTATTACTCAGGTTTGGTGTTAGGGATCGGAAGCTGGAATTAAAGGAGAAGAATTTGAGGAACTAAATACTCAGCAACCAGATCATTTGCTCAACAAGAAGCACATGCATTAACATGAGCCAACATGCCAGTCTCACTTAGCAACAGATACATTCACTGAGCAAAAATTACGAATTTTGTAATGATTGCAATACTTTCTCTTGCCCAAGGAAATAACACTTTATGGTCAGCTTTTAAATAAAAGAAAAACATAAGAAAAATGAACTTTGCATGGACTGAAAGCAGAGAAAGGACTTAGAGGTACTGCTGGCAACCAGGAGGCAATCTGAAGAACCTCAAAATTCAAGTGTCTCATCTTGATTCTGTTGTAGCACTAAAAAGCAGAAGAGTAGCTAATCTTCCATTTTATTGGGGTTGGATATGTAATGAACCTACACTGTTTCTGTGTTATTCTCTGTACATGTTTCTATGTTTTATCTTAATGCATGGTTTGATCATTGATGCTTATTTCTTTACATTGGAAAATGATTTGGAACTATGATCTGAGATTGAACAACTCAGTTTCCATGTTAGACATGATATGCCTACTCTGAGTCATTCTGAGACACTTGAATCTAATGCAAACTGTTTGTGAAAAGGATTAAGGGATTAATTAATTTTTACTAATGGTTTAGAACTTTGTTTCTAAAGAGTTGAAACTAAGATAACTACAGTGTAAATGCTGAAACAATAAAAAGAGTTTATTGGAATAAACAGTTGCCTGTAATTAGTTCATGGAATCCAACCTCAGTGACAACGTTATTTATAGCTTATAAGTCTACACAATTGAGTTTTCCTGTCATGACTTCTGATTAATTAGAACTGAAACTGTAAAATAATCTCTTGTTAATTGTCAGTCCTAACTAGTAAACGTGCACACTGTTCAAACAAGCACAAATCCCATGGGAAACGATACTTGGACTTTCCATTTTATATTTGCCCAATTTGGTACACTTGTCCAATAGTTAACACCAATTTCTGTAAGAAAAAGAAACTACCATTACTTAAAGAATTTAGATTCATCCACTTTAATTAGATTTGGTTCCACAGATGATAACATCCTTACTTACCCACCTTGTATTTAAAAATTGACAGCTTTATAATTCTATCATGTTAGAGGCATGAGAGAGAAAGTGAAATTATATATTCTCATCATTATCGAACCATATTGTATGGCATTGCACTTGAAGATAATGATCACAATTCTTTGAGTATACCTGGAAAACTTTGATTAGCTTCAGTTCACCTCTGCGCTTGATCTCAAAACCTTTAAGCTCTGCAAGGGTTCCATCATCATTAAAAACAGCATATCGCTTCTTAATTAAAATTCCTTCTTCCTTGGAAGCAGGAAGGATCATCGCCTACACGAAAGCAAAGCCATAAGTCATTGACATATATTAAATCTTAGAATTTTAATTTAAGTCTAACTTAACCCTTTTGTCACGAGGGTTGTCTCCAACTTATATACACTTGTTTAGATTTACCTCAAGTCAATACAAAATTTGAGTTTTTCCCAATACACACACTCCTTCACACCCAGCACCATTGGATGTGGTGTGTAAATAATATGATAGGTGGCCCAATAACAGATCTAGGATAAACTCTAATAGCATCTTAGATTTTGGGTTTTAAGCTTAAGCCAACTCTACAAAATCTTCTCATGAAGCGAAATTGTCCCACGCTTATACACACTATTTTAGCCTTATTAGTATGAGACTTGGTTTTTTTCCCAAAGGTAAAACTCGGGAAACCATGTAAATCATAACATATGGCTACGTTTTACCTTGTATGGTCCATCCACCTCAAATTCAATGGAGCATTCACTATGAGTTGTATAAGTTTTCCTGATTGGATCTGTAAGTGTCTGTCAGAAATTGAAAAAATGAATTAATAATAAGCAACTGCACTAACAGCAAAACACTGAAGCAGAATAATCTGCATCAAATTGTGAATTAAATAAATCATCATAAAATTACAAGCTGACCTGGTATTGATCGTTTGTATTATTTATTGCCACATCAACATTAAGCATAACACAGGGGTATGATATTGTAAACTTCTTCTTTGGGTCTCTGAAATCCATTAAATATGATAATCATTACCATATTTCTATCAACAACACTCAAAAATATTGATCATTAGATAGAGAAAATGACAATTTAGAAGAAAAACAGAGTAAAAAGTAGGATGCAGCACAATATACAGTTTACACCTGACACCTCAAACTACACTTAAGGCAGGAGGAATGGTACAAGAAAATTCAATCATCCTTATTAACAATTAGGCACCCCAAAAAAATGTCCCTTAATATTGGAATTCAGCAATTTCCTAAATTTCTTCTTTCTATGAACAAATTACAGAATGACAGTCTTAGCATAGCCAATGTTCAGCCACCAAAAGAAAAAAATCAATTAAAATTTAAAAAAGTAGTGTAATTATACATGAATACAACATACTTTGTTTTAAAAGTGAAATTTTCTGGAAAAGACCCCGGTAGTGCACACCAGATACCATCCGTGTCTAGCTCAAGTGGTTTTCCTATTTTCTCTACTAGCAAACGGGCATTCTGAATTATTTTTGCACCAGTGTATGTCACTACTCCAGCCATTTCCATGGAGTACCATCTTGCACCCCTGTAAGATAAACATCAATGAAAGGGATTATTCAGAAGAAAAAATAGTCAATGTGTAACTAAATGAACTCCAGTGATGAAACTTAAAGAAAATATGCGGGTCAATATACTCACTTGCGCATGACATATCCATAAAAGGAATTAAGTATACACTTGTGAGCAAGTTGCAATGAATCATAAAGCACAACCATATCCTGATGCATGAAATAATTAAAATGAAATCCTGTCATAATAAAATATTGTTCATAGTAATCTGAATAAATTGTTGAAGAACCAAGAAGTTACAAATATCTTTCATACCTGTGCTTCTTGGATCTTCATAGAATTTTCACTAGCCTTGGCTTCAGACAGTTTTCCCTTCCAAACCTTATTGAGACCTTTATATTCGTATCTTCTATCCCGAAAACTTGAATCAGATAGCAAAAAAAATGGCTTAGTACAATACAAGCAACAAAAAATTGTGCAGTAGAAACTTTAAAAGGTTCTCTAAGGTTAACACAGGCTATATCTATGAGCTGAATAACATCTATGTTCCGCAGAATATGAGCATGTAAGAAGATAATAATACGCTATGCTTCTAAGTAGATATGCAAAGGTGAACTTTATTGTTCAAAAGTAATCTTCAATGATCTTTACCCACCTGCGAACAGTGTCAACATAAAATGGATTTTCACGCATGCAGATTCCTGCTTCACGAACTTCAGTAACAGGTTTGTTGAGTACCCGTTTATATGCCTACGGAGGAATCCATCAATATTCAGTAATCATACATTATTTAATCAAACATGATCAATAAAACAGGCATAACCTTTTGGCAGTATTTCTTTAAACGATCTCTCAGTCTTGATTGTTGGTCTGACTTGGGAAGGTCAAGGAAAGATTTTGATGACCTCTTCTCAGAATAGTGGGATAAGGATTTGTTGTTCTCAGAATCATCAACAAACTCTGATTCAATCTGTGTCTTTAAAGCATAGTAGTCACTGAAGGATTTCAAATAACAATTATAGTCAATCATCAATTATTTATTAATTTTCCAACAATGTGCTCAGAAGATCTTGAGAACAGAAAACATTAAGTGAAAAGAAAATTAAACCTTTTCTTTGCCATGAATGTTTCTCCACGCCAAACCCACTCAAGCTTGCGTAGGCAAGTCTTTCCAGGACGATTAAAATCACATGCAGTGCAAACTTCATCCGTAACAATTGATGGCGGCTGAAATTAGGAAGGGAAAAAAATGGGATGTTCATATTTATTAGAATTCAAAATTTAGGATAGCAACTCCTAGGGGGACATAACAAGCAGAAAACAACAATATCCTTAACTTAACTCCTAGCATTTTTACATCAAATACTTATCCACACTTCCCATAAAAAGCTAAGAAATTGCTGTGATAATGTGGTGATATGCATTGCCTCTACCAACAATCACAAGTGTGTAAGACCACAACAAACTCCATGCCACCAGTTGAGTATATTAATATATGGCAGAGACTACATAATGCCATATTGGCAATAAATATACCTCAACTGCACATTTTAGTCACCCTTATCTTTTACTAGTCTTGTTCACATTAATTTGAAAATCCATCTACGGAAAATAGGAGAGTACTAGTGACATTTTGAGTCGTTCATAACCAGATTAGTCATATAAAACATTGTGTAACGTAGGAATAGAAGAATTCTAATAGATAAACAAATTATCTTATTTTGCCTATATGTTTTCTCTTATGATAATTAAACTCTTCAATTTATAATGCTAGAGACTTTATTTTCAACTCCTATACAAGGGTTTGATCCATGCAACCAAGGAATGTATTCTCCAAGTGTATTCACCGAGGCCTAAATTGAAGGTCCAATAGCAATTAGAAGGAGTGTGAAATGGGTGTGGGAAGAGTGTAAAATGAGAAGTACAGTATGAGAATGTATATCTTTTTTTCATTTCAAATCAGAGCTTGGGGCCAAAAGAATTTCTTGCTTGGCTGGGGCATTTTGCTCTTCTATTTCAGTGATTTCTGTCTTTTTTTAATCAAAATATAATCTCCCTGCAGTTGGATACATGTATTTCTATCAACCTGCATATACTGCTGAAGAACAGGAATATAAAATACAAATCTAATCATACCTGAAGTCGGTTTGTTAAAATTATGTTTGGATACATAGCAGCTACATCCAGATGATAAATGAGAGGACACTCTTCCCGTGTTGGCGCATCTCTTAAATTTATAAGCTGCATGCGTAAGGGGAAGTCATGTCTTATTCAACCGAATTGTACTTTTCAGCATTTTAGATCACAATATACAAATATACATATCTTAGTCACTGTGATGACATATGACTAGCAAATACTCATCCTAAAGACATAAAACTACACAATTAAATTACAGATTTATACATGACTACCATATGCAAGTAAATAAATGAAAATTTGATCAGAAAAAATCAGAACCGGTACCTTTTCCATAATTGCATTCTTTACTTCATCATAATTTGAAACAGATTCCAAATCCATCTTACCCTCCACTGTTATAGCATACTGTAGATCTCGATCAAGGTTGTCCATCAGTTGCTGGAATGATGGTACTCCATGGTTAGTCAAACATACTTTAAGAAAGATAAGCAATATCATAATGGAGTTACTAAAATAAAAACTAGTAGAATTATGGTTTTCATGTCTGCTCCAGTGGCACACCCCCTTCAACATACACAAGATTTTCTTATTTTGGTAAGGAAGTAACTAGAATTAGAAAAGAAATAAGCACTAAGCATATGAAAATTGTTAAAATATGGCATGTTTATAATAAAAGGGAGAGATAGTCACCAGTAAAGTAATTTAAGAATATAGAAAAAACAAACCTGATAGGCAGATGGCTCTACTGTAAAGCTAGATGGAATATCAGATCTGAATACACCACTTTCAAGACATTCCACATGACCACCAATGTATGTCTCACTCTCAAGAAGATGATTATTATAAAACTTCTCTGGATCAGACTGGTGCTTGTTAGGGCATATAACATTTGCCTTGTATGCCTGTAAGAAGATGCAAAAACAATTGAAGGGAAACTGGAAGCCATTAAATGAAAAATTTTAAGCAGAGAATTCCAACATGAATGAACACATGAACAAGAGCCCACCTGCACCATAAGCAACATTTCACATAGGGTTCCACTACCTTTGCGCAAAACCTCATCTGGTGGCATAGGTATAATGGTTGCAAGAGAGAAAATAAAGGGATGAACATAAGTTGTATATAAATAATAAGTTGCCACTGCATCAGAAACAGAATAGGAGGCCATCATCTGCAATAACAGATCAAACAAAAAAAAATGATTAAGATGTCTTGGTGACCTAGAAGCATAACTTTTCACATTTTCCAATGTCAAAGTAGAACATACCCTAAACCCTAAGAGAGAAAAAACAGGATTAAAAATTAATGCTCCTTTCCAACATAAGGCTTGGTCTGCTGAACAACTTCATAATTTATTTATTTTTTTGCCTTAAAATGCATCTCATTAATACCACTTCCATTAACATGGTAAGTTGGTGGACAAAAATATGCAATATAATCCCACTGTTGAGCTCTATTGAGAAAAAAATCAAAGTCTCACATTAACTAGAGTTAGGGCTAAATTAGCGTATATAAGTAAGGGACAATTCTCACCCTATGAACGAGTTTTGGGGATCAAGTTAGGCTAAAACCCAAAAGGTAACATGACATCAAAGTCTAGATCGTTCACCAATTCTAATGGTATTGAGTGTGAGGAGATGTATTGAGAACAACTCTAATCACGCATCGACTAGAGCTAGTACAAAGTAATGCATATAAGTGGAGGGCAACCCTCACCCTATGAGATAGCTTTTGGAGTTGAATTAAACCCTAACCCAAAATCTATCCTAAATCCATTAAAGAGCCACCAACCAAATTATCCATGCAACAACTCTTACAGTGTTAGGCATGAGGAGTGTAATGGGGAAAACCCCAAATTTCACTTTGACTAGTGATAAGACTAAAATAATGTATCCATGTGGAGGCAACCCTCACATGTCAATTTTGTGAGATTAAGTTATCAATTAGAGATAGTTTGAAGACAAAGTATAAAAGTGGGGAGACAACCCTCATCCTCTGAGCTAGCTTTTCGGATTGATTTAGGCCCAAACCCAAAACCTAAGAAGCTCTATATTTGAAGAAGTAGGATCCAAAGCACCTAAAACTTAGGAGACATCTTTTTTGCCCAAAATAAAAAATCAAGCAGAAGGCCCTCTTTCAATCTAACCTAGCAATGTCACTTAACAAATAGTATAACATTTTATTAGGCAAATAAAACCATTATTTCACCATCCCTCTCTTTCAATGAGTATGGAATAACAGTGGCAATCAAATTAGCACTTATTTTGTGCACATTCATAGCAATAAAGACAACAAGAGAAAAAATGTATTCAAATAATTTTACTACTTATTCATGCACTTTTTCACTACTTAAAACAGTAGATATCCAATACAGCGTATTGTTAAGGTTTCAACATAAAACCAATTGGCAATATGTGGAGTAACCTAACATGTATTTAAACCATATCAAATGACATGAGGTAGGCGATGTGAGACTTCCAACATGCCCCCTCCAATGAAACCTGTCGGACTAGGCAAACGATACTTTTGACCCAACGAAAGGGCAACTTTTTGACCCAAGACAATAACTGGAAAAATGTTAGGTTTTGGCTCTGATACCATGTTAAGGTTTCAACATAAAAATAATTGGCAATATGTGGAGTAGCCTAACATGTATTTAAACCATGTTAAGGTTCCAACATAAAACCAATTGGCAATATGTGGAGTAGCCTAACATGTATTTAAACCATACCAAATGACATGAGGGAGGCGATGTGGGACTTTCAACACGCCCCCTCCAACGAAGCCTGCCGGACCAGGCAAAGGGTACTTTTGACCCAACTAAATGGCAACTTTTGGCCCATGACAATAACCGGAAATATGTTAGGCTTTGGCTCTGATACCATGTTAAGGTTCCAACATAAAACCAATTGGCAATATGTGGAGTAGCCTAACATGTATTTAAACCATACCAAATGACATGAGGTAGGCGATGTGTGACTTTCAACAAACCATACCAAATGACATGAGGTAAGCGATGTGGGACTTCCAACACATATCAAACCAATTTAATAAAAAATACAGACATCACTTCAAATGACTCATACCTGGGGCTTTTCCTTTGCAAATCGAACCATGTCCTCAGGATTCACCTCCAATGGATCATAACCCAATTTTGCTTTTGTAACAGCCTGAATTAAAACAAAGAAATGTCATGTCAAGGAAGGACAAGCTTGGTTCACTATGAATTTATGAACTAATAACTTATTCCGACTTAATGTTTTATAACATGCTAGAAAACTGTTCAATATAATGTAAAAATAAAGTTCTTTTTTAAACCTAACAAATATAAAATTTTGAAAATGATTTTCACAATATAGTAAATAACGATACATATTTAAGTGGATAATTTGTTGAGCAAATATTATTTTATATCTTCGTGCACACAGCACATCCTCCTGCAGTTACAGGATGCCAGGACCAAGCTGTTTACATTTCTATTATGGTTGAAAACAAATGGTACATTTCCAGCTTGATAATTCAGTGTCACAGTGAAAAAGAAATTGTTAAGAGTGGGTCTCCTTTGTATCAAATACACTGTTGCAATTAGTATATCAGTTAGCGGTAACTGAGTTGGTTAGTCAGTTACAATTGTATCAGAGGCATTGGACTGATGCCGAGTGTACATAAGTTGATTACAATAATAGTTATGGGAGGAGACTTTATTCCTTTATAGATGATATCATACGCCTTTAAATCAGATTCTATTAACATATATAATTATAAAGTTCCCAATTGGAAAAGAAGCAAATCATGAAATATAAAGAAGAATAAATCCTTAGAGATAATCTTAAACACTCTAAAACATTTTAAGATGAAATCATCAAATGTTTTTCATATTTCTTATACTCCCCCTAAAGCTATAGAAAACAATTCATTTCCCAACAAATAATTATAAAAGATAAAATTGATCTCCACAACAAACAATATTTTCACAGGAAAGGGAAAGTCGGAGTAAATTGCTATAAAGATAGCCTAGCCACATAGCTCGAATGACTATCAGCATGAGAAAACTTTTTAGCCAAAATCGTGACACTTTATCACTTATTCCAAAAGTGAGCTGGGCCCATGAAAATATTGGACATATAAATGGCTACATTTTTTTATTGGTGCAAAGTTACATGAGGAGGTGATGAACTGTAAAACAGGACTGAACTAATTCATTGGTTGATGGTGGAGCCCCTTCCAGTTAGGAGGAGGAATTAGAGACAGAACATCCAGGGTACAAATTGGAAGAACGAACATAGACCCTCTATAGCAAAGCCAAAGAAAGCAAAAAGGAAAAGAATATACAAGCTTTCCAATCCTCAGAATATTTGGCATGAAGCTTCCATTAATTAAGTTTTAAGCAGTGCACCAATGAGAAGCCATAAAACTTATTTTATTTCATGACACTGAAACAACACCACATTCTATAAATACTGGCATTTGGCTCCATAAGTGCTTCATAGGTTCCAACTAAATTCTATACAAAGCTACAAAATGCAGAAAACAGTTCACCAGCATCGGGATTTTCATTCCTTGCTATTGCCAAATCCTTTGAAGTTATTCAAACTGATTTTGAAAATTTTTTTTAACTAGATGAATGAGCAATAATAAATTATTTTGAAAATATGTTTTATATGGTTAACTGAAGAAGTTAGAATTTCATAGCACTTACCTGATGCCTAGGTCTGGAAATAAAATATGCTATATTCTAGTTTAGTTTTCATGTCAAATAATTCTACAGTCTGAAAATGCTAGCAGTTCTGAATTCCATAAGAAAATCATTAGGGTGTTGCAGGTTCCTATCTTTTGTAAGACTTCTTTCCTTCATAAAGAAAAACATATAAGGAAAATAGTAGTTAGGATGTGCTTTTTGTTGGTAAAAGATAAAATGTTCATCTTCACTTGAACCTCGTCTTTTAAGTCTTCACAGAACTCCCTGTTTGTTGCATCAAATTTCATTCTCAAACTGTAATGCAGTTAGTTTTGTTTGCTGATGTATGAAATGGATTTGGCTGAAGAATTAAGATCTTACAGGAAGACTGCTATAGCAATAGATTGTTCATGATTACTATAGCTTGAGGAAAGGAATTAAATATATCAAATACAATGATCTAATAAAATCGTCTACATCATCTTCCGATTCTTATCAATGCTCAGGTATTCCTTGACTTATAAGAGTTGAAAATTCACCTTAATTATTGTCATCCTTACTCTGCCTTAGTTGCAAGTCTTTGGAATTGCCTTAATTGCAACCTCAAAAGTGGTGATTTTGACCCACACTAACAAGGGATATGACTAAAGTATAACCCAAAGTCAAAGATGTAATTAGAACTTGTCCTAGATCAAATGATGGGTTGGATTCACTTGCATTTGTCACACTCTAAGTTGGAAATCCTAGGTGTGAGGAGGGGCATGTTGAAAAACCACCTTAATTGTAATCACCCCTAGCACTCCTTAGTGGTGGTCTCTTTGGGAATTACCTTAATTGAAACTTCAGGAGTGGTAGTTAATCCCTCATCAAAACTATGATGTCAGCTTTAATTTCAAATTCAATCTATTATTTTTGTTTAATGTTTAATAAAACCAAAAAAAGATGGTTTGGGAATTATCTATCAATTTACTAGACATAGGTTTTGTCCACTATTTCAATGAAACCCATTGATCAACCAAATGAAAAAGAAAAAAATAATATATATATATGAATTTGAGAAAATGATGTTGAAACAGTAGGGGTGAACAAATCCGTATTTTACCATGTCTTAGAGCAAGGTTAGCCAAAGCAAGTCCCACGTCCCACATGAATATAAATAGAAGACAATTTTTTCTTTTGATTGAATTCAATATTGCATATATATATATATATATATATATATATATATATATATATATATATGTGGGTGTGGGTGTATCATGGTAGAAAAATCATAATGAAGAGAATAGCATTCATAATTAGTAAAATAAATTATAGAAAACAACTGAGAAATCGAGATCAAACTTTGTACCTTCAGACCTTGGCTCCCCTGAGGGAGATAACTATCACGTTTAACCCAAGCAAAACAATCCAAATGGCAAGCATATCTAGCACGACATTCCCCTTGATTTGTATCGCATTTGAACCCCAATTCCTGGAAGATTAAATAACAAAAATGAAAATAGAAGGAAAAGGAATACCAAATCAATAAATTTAAAAAGAAAAACTAATTGACTCCACAGCTTTACAATAATTATAAAAACAGAAACCAATAACAAACATACATGATTTGTTCGAAAACTTCTGTGACATCACATAGTAAAATTCAAGTTTAAATACTATGGGACAGTTGTCATTTTACTCGTTTGTTATGTTTTAATAAAAAAATTACATACATCCAGCATAAATAAATGCAGAAATGTGCATACATGCTAGCAATACATTTTACTTGTTTACCATTGAACTAAAAGTTAACATACATCACTCATTTTGAACCCAAGATGGGTTGCCCTTCGTTCCAGGAATGGCCAATCAAAAAAATCACCATTATAGGTCACGTAGATACCAGGTTTCACTTCTTGCATATGAGAAAACCATAATCTAAGAAGCTCGACCTGCAAAAGACAGAATAACAAATCCCAACAAATTAGATTTGTCATTATAAATAAATAAATAAAACACAGTGGAACAGGTTTTCAACAAGGAAGTAATATAACGTATACAATATAGCACTTATGGATTCACATGTACCCTTACCTCATTTTGAACATTTGTCACCTTAAAACACCCTTCAAACTCAGGTTTTGGACTGTACTCTATATCCTCTATATCATCGCCGACACACTACAGACAAAGCAAATGGATATTATTTCAAGTTATCAGCCCATGACAATGATTAATGCTCTACATTATTCAAGGTGCAATTTTTGGATCAGTTAACAACCACATTTGATGCATAAGAGATAAAAAAATTATTTACTTTTTCTACATAATTTAGCATTGAAAAGGATTCTGTAAGCTCTAGTTGTAAACTCAATACTTCAATGCAAATCAATCAACCACATGTGCATACAAAATAGGGGTTGTTTGGGAATTATAAAACCAATTGCAGATAAGCAACCTAAATAAAATGAATTTTTTTAGAAGACAGATAAATAAATCAAAAGATATTGATCATGAGAGTACTAATGATAATAGGCTTTTGGTGAGATGTAATTGGTGTTTTCCTTTGAATAAATAACAGAGTCAAAGTAAAAGATAAATTGCATGAACATTATCATGACACTGACCTCTCTATTTATGATTAAATATCCTTGACCATCTACCATGTATGAAATCATCATAACTAAATCATAGTCAGCATCAGGAAACTTCAATGGAAGTTTTGTAGTCTCAATGTCAAATGCACAGACACGAACTTCAGCACGCTGCAGAAGATCTGTCCTCTTCTCAAGTGTAACCCCATTATTGGACACTCCAACATCATACCACTGGCCACAACGTATATCTAGGTCACATGTCATTGCAAGTGTCAGGATAAACAGGCAATAGCATGGTAACGGAAAAATGCAAGATAGGATAGCAGAATAAATATTAAAAGCAAAATAAGAAATATCAAAAGGTACCATGGTCAATGGCAAAGCGAACATGATAAGGAACATCATATTCACGAAGATCAGTCAAGCAATCAAGAAAATCCTGAGGTTTATGTTCTCTGCAAAGCAACAAGATCAAGTAAGAAGAAAAGTTTAACTAAAATTATAGAGATGAAAAAACTGGCATTGCATAAAGGAAGTAATATTTGAATGTGATATTTCGATCTAAAATAGTAAATGTGAAAATTGGTTTACCTTCTTTCTGTTGACATGAACACAAGGGCTTCTGCAGTATCAGACTTAGCCTTATTTCTTTCAACAGAAGGCATCAGGTCTTTCTTCACATCCATCAATTGTTGCACAGTATCAAATGAAAGCTTTAAATAAGATTTTCTTAACCCAGACAAATGGTTTTTCTGTCGAATACCATTAAAGCAAATCAGAGTCCATTTATAAGTAGAAAGAAAGCAGGCCTAACCCATTTGAATCAAAGAAAAATTAAAATTTTAAAGAAATATAGCCAACTCAGATTTAATTTTCAGAAAGACATTGTCAAATCCACAAACTATAGCAATAAACTAATGCAGACTATATCAAGATGACCGTATTCACTTGACTTTCTAAAGACTATGGAAGAAATTGCCAAATAAAACCCAATTAAAAAGATTACTGGTGCTGAATGTTGTATTATAAAAGCTGTTTGTCATGTACCAGACAAAGTAAAGCAGATAAGGGATGTATAAATTGCTTACAAGATCCAGGTCTTCTTTCTCTATAATTTCAATATCAGCAATCTGACCTTCATAACGTCTTCTCAAGTATGCTTCAACATCCATCTCCATTTTATCCTATTAAATTAAAATCATATAATCAAAATTAACACCATCACCATGATGGTTCTACAAAATAAACACTGAATCCGAATATATTAACAAAGGCAACGAACACCCTTAGACCCAAATATGATGCATGTCTCCACATGACACACATGAATGTTCTCACTCACCTTTGTTGCTACATAGAAATAAGGCCGAAATCTGAATTTTGACTTGAATGAAGAGCCATCCTACAAGCAGAATCCAATCAGTAAGTTACTCCTTAAACCACGTCACTGTGTGGAGCAAAAACCTTGCAACAAAAGCAAACTTTACACGAAACAATACCTGTGTAACAAAGTAAAGATCGATACAACTGTACACTTTGTAACTGTTTTCATCCTCAACAGATGACTGCAAATGTATGGAAAAGCATGAATAAGATTATCAGAACGACATATTACAGCAAACCAACATGTTGAGACTGCACTGTAAATAGGAATCTCAACTGAGATAATTGCAATTCAATCACTCATTTCACCTAAGGTTATCAAACTTGAGAGTGTGCCTAAACAAATATCAAGATACCAATTTTTGCAATACTAAAATAAATAAGTGTATATCATATACACAAAAATATAAGTTCCTAACAGTGATAAAATACCAATTAAAAAATTAAAAGCCACAAATGTTATATAATTTGTATAATATTAACAATAATTACATTTTTTTTTCGTTTTTTATTATACTATTATATGTAGCAATTTTACTCTAAAATCAGCAGGGTATACCAGGCAGAACCTAACCAGAAAAGGAACAATAAAATATATACTTATTTATTAGCCAAAATTTCAACACAGAAATTACGGTATCCCGAAGAGAACAAAACCAGAAAAATCCAGAACTGCAAGAATGAAATGCTTATAGCAATGTTGATAGCTCCGACGTGCCGCAACGACAGTGAACTGTGAACCGCGAGCCGTGCCCGCGGTGGTGGGAACTGCGAATGGCGGCGTGGTGTGATTGTGAACGGCAGCGGGCTGGAGGGCGAATGCTCTTTGTCATCGTGAGACCCAGACTCCCAAATAAAATGCACGTGACCAAAAACTGCGAGATTGAATCAAACGACCCCTATAGGTTTCATTTTGAGTGTTTATCTATACTCAGTTCACTCGACTCAGACTCGCGACTCTGAACGATAACTTAAATAACAGTTCAATTCACACTTAATTAGTGCTGGCAAATTGCAATAGTAATGAGCTTACGGATGCAAGAGTGAGTAGCCATCCGAGTCGCTTTTCGCCCTCTGAGAAGAGATCGAACCCTAATTTAGCTTCGAGCTCATCCTCGGGGTTGCGGTTCAGCTTCCGCTTCTTCAGTGCTCTGGTGTCTCTCCGGTCTCGTCTCCGACCATCGCCATTCATCGTTGCCCCAACGAGATCGAAGGCTTTGAGGTTGATGCTTTTGAAATGAAGGTTACGAGAGTTTGGGAAAAACTGTTATTATCCTGAGTAGAAAGATTGGGAGCATAAGGAAGACACTACCAAGTGCATTTTCCCGCGCTTTTTTCCCGGCCCAGTTAAGTAAAGTTTGGCTCCACCAACAACCAATCCGACGAACCGGAGTGGTCCAAATTGAATACATTATAAATCAAACAAAAATAAAATATTAATTTTATTTGGTTAAATTATTTTATTAATCTATCATCTATAACCTATAACAAGTTATTTATCTATTATTTATTATATTTTATAAAAGAAGATTTAGTAACTTAGGTAAATGCTATTTAGCAACAGTATTGATTTGTCTTCTCTAAAACAATTTTTTTTATTTTATTCTTTAATTCATAAAATACTTAATTAGACGAATGATTATTGGTATAACTAATAATTTGAATATTCAAATTAATATATATATTCTGAATGGAATTGAGTAATGATTCTAATTTAAAAACTGTAATAGGTATGAATTTTATGATTCAAATTCATAATACAATAATATATTCTTATTCAAATCCACGGTGCTACTAATATTTATTTTATTGCACAATTAAAAATTTATGAAAAGTATAATTTTTATGATTTGAATATTCAAAATTAAAAAACAAGTATTTTTTTTATTCAAACTAATATACATTTTAATTTCAAATTCATATCATATAAGAGTAACTATCGAAGTTATTGCTGCTCGGTACAATTCAGAAATCTTACTATATTTTTATCAATTCATAACATAAGTATTTAAAGTGGAAGATTATATTACTATATGGGGAAAAAAATATTATATGATTGGAATACCATGAGTTGATGCATGTAAAGTTATTAATTTTAAATTATATATTACAAATACAATTATTCGTTACATGTATACAAAAACAAACAAAAAAACGTTAGCTTTTTTCTTTCTAAATACTGAAAATGTGATTTTTTTTTTAAATTAAAATTTATTGAAATGATATTTCTGAGATCTGATCGTAGTCATTTGTATGTATTCATTTGAATTATTATTTCACTTAATTAATTTTAATACATTTTACTACTAATATTCTTAAAGAATGATCCTTAGTACATTTTCTATTAAATTTTAAATTGTCTTATATTGAGATATTTTCACATTTAAATTTTTGCATTAGGTTTTCATATATTTTCATTAAAACAATCAATCAAGTAGAAAAAGGTTGAAGATCGAGAATCACTGGAAATGGTTCAAGGAGAGCCACAAATTTCTGGTTCAGAAAATGATGTTGTTCTGGAAAACCAACAATTTTCTTGTTTGGAAAATAATGTTGTTCAAGCGATTTAACAACTGTTCAATTCGGAAGTAAAACTTTGAAGGAGAAATATTAGTGACCGCCAGCAACACGAAGGAACCAGAGAAGTATGCTATAATCTATTTTCCCATTATCAAGATATTCACCAGAAATCTCCACATGAACAAAGTCCTCTTTCAAAATGATGGAACCTATTGGCATCCCTTACAACAAGGGTCCGTTGGGAGAATTTTGATGCTATCTTAAAGAATGTATGACAATTATCACAGATTCGAAGGTTCTTTGTGATTCGAATAGAAGTACCTTCTGGGGTAACCAGTAGACCATAACCAAGTGCCAACCTTTCACTATGTCCATATAACATCTGTATTTTCTCTTCTTCACTAACATTGTGGAATACAAACTTCGTTTGAGCTCTATAGCCTCCTGTTTCCAGAAGTTTAGTAAACTGAGCTAGTTTTAGATAAATATCATCAGACTTTGGATGAGACTTGTCCCTTGCCATGAAGGTGTGAATCTTATTCTCAACCTCAATCCAACTGCACCCTGGATTCTTCTTAGAGCCATTTCCCTTCATTCTCAACCTCACTTCTTCAACAGCATTCCATCTTTCATCTGCTGCAAAGATGTTTGATATCAGTACATATTTTCCTGAATTCTCTGTATCGGATTCCAAGAGCTTCTTTGCTGCAAGCTCTCCCAAATCTTTATTAGAATGAATGCGGGAAGCGCTGAGAAGGGCACACCAGACTTCAGAAGTAGGTTTGATAGGCATGGTTCGCACAAAATGATGAGCCTCTTCAAGGGAATTAGAACGGCTGAGGAGATCAACCATACAGGCATAATGCTCTGGCCAGGGTTCCAATTTATATTCAGATTTCATAGTTTCGAAAATCCTCTTACCTTCAACCATCAACCCCGAATGGCTGCATGCATATAATAAAGCCAAAAAGGTTATATGATCAGGAATAACATTTTCCTCAGTCATTTTCTTGAATAAAGAAACGGCCTTCCTTCCACATCCATGCATTCCATTTGCATTAATCATGGAAGTCCATAAAATTAAATCTCTCTGTTTTACAGAATTAAATATCTTTCTTGAGTTTTCCACATTTCCACAGCGAGCATACGTGTCCACTAGAGAGCTAGCAATTGGTCCCTCCAAGAAGAAACCTTTCCTAATCAGAAACCCATGAATCTCCTTCCCTTTCTTCAATGAAGATAAACTAGCAGTGGCAGAGAGTGCACTAATGAGAGCTATAGAATCGGGTTGAATATTAAATTGGTTTAGAGAGTAGAAAAATTCGAGAGCCTCAACTGGAAGTCCATTATGAACACAGCAGGTAATCATACTTGTCCAAGACACAATATCTTTGAATTTAATTGATTCAAATACACGTCTTGCATAATCTATATGCCCAACCTCTCCGTATACATTGACAATGGCATTTTGTACCATTATATCAGCTAAATCTCTTTTCAAAACATAACCATGAATCTCTCTGACAAAGTTTTTAGATTTCAACTCGCTACAAGCCCGTAAAACACTTCCAATCATCATGGGATCAACAGCCATCCCGTCCTCCTGAACCATCCGGAACAAGTTCATTGCTTCAAGATGGCATTCATTCTGTGCATAACCAGTTATAATAGTTGTCCAAGAAATCAAATCCTTTTTAGGCATACATTCAAAAGCATGACCCATATATTTAACACAGCAACACTTAGCATACATATCTATCAAGGTATTCCCAACCTGCATATTAGAATCTATTCCATTTCTTATTGCATAGGCATGAACTTCCTTCCCTTTCGATAAATTTCCCAATCGCCCAGATGCCGCAATCATGTTTAACACTGACACCTGATCAAGGTTTTGGCCAGAACCCTCCATATCCCGGGAGTAATTTAGAGCATCACTGTAGAGCTCATTTTGAACCAAACCGGAGAGCAATGTATTCCAAGATACATGATCCTTGCCAAGCATACTTTCAAAAACTCTCACAGCATCCTCCATTCGACCACACTTTGCATACATGGCAATCAAAGCATTGGCAACATAGACATCAACAAAATGGTTAGATTTCAACACGACACCATGAATCTCCATGCCCAGTTTAACAAACGAGGGAGCCTCACAACCTTGAAGAGCTGCAACAAAAGTATATGTATTACTCGCAACACCAACTTCCTGCATTCTTCTAAAAAGTGACAATGCCTCCAAACATTTCCCTTCTGCTACATGTGCCGAAATAATAGAATTCCAAGACACAGTGTCCTCTTTCTCCATCATAATCCCATCAAACAGCACCCTAGCCCCGTCAAGATCACCACACTTGGCATACATACTAATAAGCGCATTACACACAAACACAAATTCGCCATATCCACACTTAACAGCCACACCATGGATTTCAGCCCCCAAGCGGGTTTCACCAAGAGCACCACACGCTTTAAGGACAGAGGGAAAAGTACAAGCATCTAGCGCCACTCCAACGACTCTCATCTCCCGATACAACTCAATTGCTTCGAGGTATTTACCACTTGACACAAACGCACCCATCATGGCATTCCAGGTAAAAATAGTTCTCTCAGTCATATCATCGAACACTTTGAGTGCATCGAGCAAAGAGCCGCACTTTCCGTACATGTGGACGAGCTTGGTGGCCAGAAACGCCGAAAGGTGAGATTTGATCAAACGGGCATGTAATTGTTGGCCTTGTGGGAGGGCTTTCTCAGAGGCGCAGAGGTCGAGGAGGAAAGAATGCGCTTGTTCGAGACGTGAGGGGGGCGTGTGCAGGTGAGAGGAAAGGAAGGATAAGGATTCAAAAGCCGGTTTGAGGGTTCCTTGGTTGAGGGTGTTGACGGAAATGGGTTTGAAACCTGAGAGGATTGAAGTGGACATGGTGACGGTGCATGCGTGAAGCAACGGTGCGCCGCACCGGAACAAATATCTCATGCGCGAATGAGACGCGGAACAGGGAACACTAAATTACAGTGATAAATAAATAAGTAAACTTTTTTTCTTTTTGGACATGCAAAATTCCTCATATTTTGTATGTAAAATAAATAAAACATCCTTGTATTTAATTATATACGCTCCTGTCCAAACTTGTAAAAATGAGATAACTCACTGAATCAATTTATAAATTTATATATTTACAAAGAAGTTCAGATAATTCTGTTCTGCATTCATCAAAATTTATGCATGGAATCAAACACATGAACAATATCAACATTATCATCACAAGAAAATGAGTGGAATGAAGTTGATTTACATTAAGTGTACTATATTTCACATATTACTCCATCTTTAATCAATTTGTACTCTTCTGAGTTGATAAAACAAGTTATTAATATTGGTCAAATTTTATACTAACTTTACTCAATTCGGTATATGCCATAAAACAATAGTTTCAATAAGTTAAATTTGGTTAAAAGAAATTTCATTAAAATTTTGTTGAATGCAAAGGGAACACAAATCTTACTTGTGTGTACTTTGGTCAAAAACAATTTTTTAAAAAATTTAATAAAAAATAAATAAATCATGATTTGTGTTAAAGATGGATGGATAAGATATTGAAAAAATAGTTGTTATAAAAAATAAAATAAAATAATTATCATGTATAGTCATGAAACATGTGAAATTGAGATGAAAGAATTAACAAATCCCTACGTTAATAAGTAAGTCATTATCACATGATGTAAGTCATTATCACTCTTTTATAATAAATCACTAGTTAGAGTAAAATGACTGTAAAATTAAAGTAGAGTCATTTCAATGGACATTAAAAATACATTAAATTTCCCTAGTTGTTGAGTTCGAAGTATTTTTCACAATTAATTATGACAAACCTATGTCAAAGTAGGGAAAATAGCAATGTTTGATTTTAAATTTTGTGGCCGTTCGGAAAAACAGTTGGAAATGTTATTATTATTCACGGACCCTTCTCCTATAAAAACCATAAATGTGCTTGGTTGAGTTGAGGACCATTTTCACGGACCCTTCTACATGAACATGCAATAATTTATTTTCATTGTGTTCGGTGAGAATAGAACGAAAAAAAAAAATATATTCATCTAACTTTTCCTTTTTTTAGTTTTATCTTTTCTATTACAAATTGTGAAGAAAAAATAAAAGGATTGGGGCAAACCAAAATCTAGCTGTGGGACCAATCACAAATTTACCACCGCCTTCGGACCAAAACCCCACCCAATCAGCCATTAATCAAGCCACGACATGCACTGTGGCTCCAAGCCATGAACCACCTGTGATTCACCATAACTAAATGAGGCAATTAAGTTAACTTTTTTAGCCAATTGATTAGTTAATTATATTGGATAACGATCTTTACATGATGATCTAATGCTTACTTAAATCTGGAGTAGTAACACAATACTGAATAATTATAACTAATATGCGTTGGTCACTGATGTCATGTCATGCAATTATTACCCACCTAATGCTTTATGTTTACCTTTTCTGAATGATAAAACGTACCTGCAACAAAGGACATAATTATTTTCTATAAATAATAAAAATGAAACTTTAAAATATAGTTGAAAAATGACTAAACTAATTTAAAATAATAAAAAAAAAACACACGAGTATATGTTAACCAGAATAAAATGATAGGACTAACAAATTAATGTGTAAAAATCTTTGTACTCATTAATACTTCTGATTTGCATGAGTGATTTGTAAAGAATGTAAATTTATATATGTATTGAAAACTTTTATAATCCTTATTATTGTTAAAAATAATGTAAAATCAATTAAAAATTATAAAAAAATAATATTTCTAACTTATTTCTTATGTATAAGAAATATTTCACTTTAAAACTTATGAGTAATACTTGTTTAGCTTTAGTTATATATTACAAGTTTTTTACTTTTAATTTTTTTATTTGAATCTATTGTTTCTACTACTCTTTTTAACTTCCCTTCTGTGTTATTCTTCCCATGCAACAGTAAAAGAAAGGTTAAAAGAATGGATTCCTTCCTTATAATTTTGTTTTAATTTGATCTCTTAGATTGGAGAAGATTTATATTGGCCTATGAAGGTGTACCCACTAGATGAAATTGATGATTCAGTTAACTTATCACAGTGGATGAAGTTAATAAAGTATATGAAAGTGTGATAAATGTAAGAAATACATAAACATTAGGGATATTAATTTATTAATAAGAATCAAGGAAAATGTCAGGAGAAGTTTCATGATGATCATGATAGAGAGGTTTAGTATTAGGCGGGGGAACAAAGGGTGGAGTGGTGCACCTAAGCAAGGCCCAATTAACGCCGTGAAAAAAAGAGTGCTGCTTGATTGCAGAAGCACCCATCACGGACCCAAGCCTCTTGGCCGGGTCCTTAACCAGCAACTGCGATATAAGGTCCTTCATGGCCCCTGAACCCGCCGGTTCCTTAGGGAACTCAAGGGCTCGAGCCACAATGTTGGCCAGGGTTAGCTCGTGGTCCATGCCTTTGAAGGGTGTCACGCCGTAAAACAGTTCGAACATAAATATCCCCAAAGTCCACCAGTCCACCGCACTACCGTGGCCCTCCCCGGACACGATCTCCGGCGCCAAGTACTCGTGGGTCCCCACGAATGACATGGACCGAACGTTCATGGGCTCCGCCACGAACGCAGGCCCGCTACGCAGACTCTGCTTCTTCTTTCGCTTGCGTCTTGGGTGGAAACACGACGCCGTCGGGACTATGCAGTTGGGGATGATGCAGGAGGAGGACGCCATGCGTGCGGCTTCCACGTGGCAGTCGTTGCGCGTGGGAAGGGGGTTTTGGTCGGATATTATCTGAGCCGTTGATGTGGAATCGTCGCATTTTAGTGACAGGTCGAAGTCCGTGAGCATGATGTGGCCGTCTGATCTTATCAGCACGTTTTCGGGCTTGAGGTCGCGGTAGATTATCCCCAACATGTGGAGATATTCAAGTGCCAACAATACTTCCGATGCGTAGAACCTGTCATTAAACACCAAAACAATAGGATCATTTTCATCACAATTTTGCTTCACTCATTAATGTTTGTTAGTATGACTAATCGCAACTTTTGTTTGTTGTAAGACAGCAAATGTGCTTTGTTTTTTATCTTGCCATGTGTGGTGCGACATATTTGGGACAACCTCGATTATCTCCATGCAAATGGAAGAAAATAGGAGAAGTCAACGACACAGCCATATGCATGTCGAAAGTTAATTTTAAAAAAGTCGTATGTTTCATGTGAGAGTGAGACGTGCATATAATGACAAGAGAACAAAAGCAGTTAGTAAAGTGACTCTTCATGCACAGGAAGCAACTACCAAGCATTTCTTCTACTTTCACTCAGAATAAAAATCAGGGGTAGTTGAACATGTCTCTCAAGGATTCAGCTTTCTATTGGCCTGCGCTGTCTGTTTTTCAACACGTTAAAGCGTGGGAGAAGAAAGAGGGAAGAAAACCAAAGAAACACTTTGACATGCATAGGAATCTTTTGAAGGCTCACCCAACAGACAAGCTATAGCCATCAATTTTCTTTATCTCAAAATTCAAAAAGCAAATTCCAATACATTAGAGAAAGATAAACAAATTAATAAGTTGATTAATTATATTCCAGAAAAATATTTGATTAGCGAAATCCCATATTACCTGGGCGAAGGGATTTATTTTCCACAATAGGGACCACTCAAGATTTGGCTAACAATTAGTTTATTCATTTTAAGAAATAAAATGCAGAAACCCCGCAAAAACTATTGAATCAAAACTATGAAGAGAGAGAGAGAAAGCAAGAAGATTCTTCAACAGGGTAGATTCTCCCTTAAGAAAAAAGCTATGAACTTTTGCAGGTTCAAAACTATAACTAGTCCCCACAAAGCTGTAAAACTTACATAAAAAAACAAAGCATCTAGTAAAATTTATCGACCACCTCGTAGGGTGATCATGCGCACCTTATGGGTACCACAAAGTTTATGACAAAAAAAATTGAACCACCGGCGTGCGTTGTCGTTTTGACTTTGAAAGTAATTTTACAAAGAATGCGTAGGCAATCACACCATCACGTGCCGCCATTTCGAAATCACTTCTCCAAAACGTCATTATCACGTTCTTAATTTACTAAACCCACTCTGATACTACTGTTGCTGCATTCTTTATAAAAATGGTTTAAAATTAAACCATATTACTTAACAAACGACAAACATAGCTGTTTGACATTAAACAGTTTTTGTAAGCAACTGCTTGGTTTGGTTTGGTTAGTTAAGATGTAAAAGTAAAAGACTTTAATAATAAAATAAATAAATATTAAAGTAAAATTAAAATGCAAATTAATAGTCCCATATAAACAAATAGGAATGCATACTCATAATCACTCAAGATATTGATACTGAGCTGAATTTCCGTTCAATTCTTAATTCCTTGTGTATGGATTGGGGAAGAGAAAATTCTGAAATCTTTCAAGGGAATTACTTTTGAGGAAAAGCATGTAAATTTGCATAATAAAAATAGAAACCCACGATAGAATCAATCTTATCAAAATATTTTAATACTTTTTTTTGTAAATTATAAGTTTCATAAAGATAATAACTATATCTTTAATTATAAATTAATCGGATAAAATAATATTTTAATTATTAATTGATATGATTACTCAATGAATATTTTAACCAAAGGATTCTTCCCTCCAAAAAAAAATATTGAAATGATTTCATTGGAAGGAAACGGCGGGCGCACCTGACGGCGGATTCGAGGAAGCGTTTGTTGGGGAAGCGCTGGCGGAGGACGTGCAAGTCACCGCCGGGGCAGAAGGGTGTGAGAAAGCAGAGCCATTTGGGCGCGTGGATGGACGCGTAGAGCGTGGGCAAGAAGGGGTGATCCAACATTTCCAGAATTTCCCTTTCTGTCCTCGCCCTCCCTTCCTTGTTCCTCCTAGCCAAGTCTTCCTTCTCCATCACCTTCGCCGCGAACACAG